CGCAGAAGTATGTGAACATACTGAGTTCACTCTACTCACATACCTCTGGTAGCGTAGGGGTCTACGGTTAGCTGAGTAGGTCGTTCGCAACTAGGAGTGATGTTTGTCAATGGTGTCCTCTTTCGTCATAGACGAAATACTGGAGAACTAAGTGGTCTCCAAAATGTAGATATTGAATGGGCAGGTGAAGAAAAGCTGTGTGATTTGGAGTACGCTGACGACATTGCTTGTTCGAATGTATGGAGGATGCACAAAGAGCACTTGACAGATTAGCAAATTCTGTCGCTCCGTTCGGCATGTGCTTTGCACCTTCAAAGTGCATAGTGATGCTACAAAACTGGGTGTCATCGAGTTCTGTTCTGAAACTAGACGGTCAGGAATTAGGTGAAGTTGACTGCTTTTCGTACTTAGGTAGCTGCGTAACCAACGATGGTAGCGCATCAAAGAAGACAACCGCCCGTGTTTACAAGGCTCGAGCAACGTACGCAGGACTTAAACACCTGTGGTGACGACGTCATGTTTCATTGAAGTTAAAAAGTCGCGTTTACTATGCCGCTATACGATCAATTATGCTTTACGGTTGTAAGACCTTGAATTTGCGGGTAGAAGACATCCCTCGCCTAGTGGTTTTCGACAGTCGATGCTTACGTAGTCTGGCCCAAGTGGGATGGAATGAACGGGTTAGTAACTTAAAAGTAAGTCGTTGGGTGTTTGGGAATACATCAGACAAGAACTCGCTATCTCATCGCATCCAGCTCAGTAGGCTCCGTTGGTTAGGACACGTTTTGCGTATATCCGACGGTCGCTTACTGCAGCGCGCCTTGTTTGCAGTGACTGTTACAGGCTAGAGGAAGCCACGTGGAGACGAGGCATGAAGAAATGCACAGGGCGATTAGGTAGAGTAGGTGTCTCTCGTCTTCTGGGTTGAGGTCCAAAAGACTCTGAAGCCGCATGGTTGGAGACACTGAAGGTCATGGCTGCGGACCGACAGCAATGGTGATCATACTGTCACTTATCAGTCCAAAATACTTGGACTAGTATGTATGCACAGTTGGACTGTGTACTCTGTGTGTTGACCGTAGAGGTTCACTTTCTTTTCCCGTCCCTAAAAATAGGCCCAATCCCTGTCCTTACACATTCTCACTTATCTTGTATGCATTATGAGCTTGGCAGCGATCAGTGAAGTTCGCTTCACTGTATTATATCGTACAATGATGATGATGATGATGACTATTCCACTGCTAAATTGACAGTCGAGATCGCTATAACTTTGCAGATTTCCGTGTCGTTTTAGCCGAATCGCTACAAATCGACTACTAAAGCGCTACTAAACCGACTTAGTTCTGTGGTCCTTAAAGTAGGATATCGCTACCTAACTGCGCAATTTATCGAACTTTACCCACTACTTCTTTTTTGTCGAAAGGGTTACCAACGCCCGTAAGCTGATAACGTAACACACTTACATATTTCAATCAATGTTTGTAAACGGTGAATAATATTTAAGCCTAAAAATCGAAACGCTACTACGGCAGTCATTTTATAGAAGAATATTGCTACTCCAAACATTTCAGTTAGGTTTGTATACAGGAACGTGACGGCAATGGTCAGTGTTCAGGTTCTTGCATTGATGGGCTCCTTGGATCCCCCGGTGCTGCGACAATAGTAGAAATGAAAATCCTCTTCTCTTAGAGATAGGGTAATCAGACTCGAATTTCCCGACATGCAGATACTTATTTTGCTTCGTGTGTACAGGATTACAGTTGATATCTGTAATCCAACTAGAAAGCGGCAACTAAAGAAATAAAAGGATAAACTTGTAAAATCCAAAATAAGGAATGAGGGATTCAAGCGTTAAATTGTCCTGGGGAATCAGGTAGACAGGAGTAGGAAAGAGAAGGATTAGAAGCAGAGATGATATAAACAAAGAGAGGACGCCGACGGTAGCGTCCAATGTAGGAGCTGTTGGGATTTGGAAGGGACAAAAACAACCTATCAGCTGAGATTCCCTACGATCCCGCGCGGTGGCTCTGTCATTCAAGTACGTCCCACGCGAATACTTACTCCCAAACTCTATCTATCCGGTGTCTGGAGCTCACGACAGACGTGGCCTCGATCACCTCCTCTGGGAGTTTGTTCTAGTCGTTTACTACCCTTTCTGTAAAGAACTGCGCCTGGAGTCTGGTCCTGACGCGTTCTTTTTTAACTTGAGGCTGTGACCTCTCAAGTTTGGGTGCTCACTAAGTGGCAGTAGAGGTTGCCCGTTTATGCTGATATATTTGTATTTGTATAGACTTGCGTGGACAGATGTCCGCATTTCGGTCAAAAATTACACATCTCATCAAAGAAGGAAATAANACATGTCAAACGGTTAACCTCCTAGGTTGCTGAGAAACTCACATCAAATGCGCCGTCGGTTTACAAGGATTCTGGCTTGATAGGGAACTGGAAAACTTCTGTAGAGGTTAATGCGAGAGGGTAATAATCGATATGTGGAGCGTGTAGATGAATGAGAGCAGCATTTGGATAGTTCGCTATGTGAAGGATGAGTGGAATCAGAGAGGATTTTCTGTGCAAATATTTCACACGCGGACAAGTGAAAATCACAGTTTTTAGATGAATCATCAACGGGTATAAAAGATACACGACTGGTGATCGACAAACCTGGACGAAACATTTTGAAATCTCTCTTAAGTAGACCAGCAAAAACCACCGGGGAACAATAAAAAACAAGAAAAATACATTGATAAACAAAAAGCGAAATGATTTTTTGTTTGGGATTGAACTACCTAAGTCTTCGCAGTTGAAAAGATAATCCATCAAGTTTCTATACAGAATTGTAAATATGGGATGTCCACTTTAAGCTTGTGTCAACTGTAACTCCTAAATAATTCGCGGAATCTAATCTAATCGTTGGCCCGGTGGACGCATCGGTGCAAAATGACCTGGACAAGGTTCATCAATGGAAAAAGAGTGAGACATGCCACACAACGTTCACAAATGCGTTCATCTGGTGGCAGCAGGCACCGAACACACTGCGTGGGACCTAGGGTTGGGAAGTGATGCCACAGCTATACCAACAAGGGTCGTCACCCAGGACCTTGGGATGACAATCCAGGTGAACTTCCAGCCCCGAGCACAGTGTGAAAGGGTTGCCCTGACCGCATCAAGGGCTCTTTATCAGCTACGTCGCGTAGTGAGCTCTAGGAAACCTGGTGTACTACTGCTATTGTATAATGCACTTGTCCGGTCGCACTAAACTATTTTGTGCAGGCCTGGATACCCTACCTAGTTAGGGATAAGATATTAGAGCAGATCCAGAGGCAGTTCACTAGATGGTTCCCTGAACTAATGGGGAGGGCTTCCGAGGAAAGACTGGATCAGCTGAAGCTCTTCTCCCCAGAACGGCGAAGAAGGAGAGGGGATCTCATTGAGGCTTTCAAACTCAGTACCCCCGAAGACCCCCTCCAGTCTGCGTATAAATCAAACAAGTCCACTTGGGATGCTGTCGCCTCTCTCGTTCATTGCCTTACCAAATCCCTAGACGCATCAGCGGAATCCGTAAGATATTTTTTCTTAGGTTTTTCATCGGCGTTTGACTCTGTTCCACGTTCTCTCCTCCGCAAAATGGAAGCATTTGGCCGTCCTAAGCACCTACTGGCGTGGCTCGTTGACTACTTCACAAACAAA